TAAATGTTTTTTTTAAAATCTTAAAATTTTAATTGGTTACACTCTAATTTTATAAATTCATGTAGCGTGAAAAAGTAGAATATAAAAAAATTATAATCATATACAATTACTTTGTTATATATTACAAAACTACAATTCGTCCTAAAACCCCACCACCTCGAGTGGTTGTCACTTGTCACTTGTCACTTGTCACAATTCCATATCTTCCTTTCCTCCGTTTGAAGTCGGCTAGCTCTTTTATACATACAAATACAACTCGTTATATTGATCAGGAAAGGACGTGTAAGTATGTATTACTTGTGTATAATTTAGTTTAGTAGAATAACAATGTGAAAGTGATAACATCAATCAAATCACATAGTCACATGGCTTTGTCATAGCCACTATTACTGAATTTACATATTCGAATGTTTGGAAATTTAAGTGCGGCCTGTAACTAGTCCATAATGAATATTTTGGACTACATTTTGTAAGACTTTGATAAAAATCAATTATGTATATGCGAGTGCATATGCTTATATATGCAAGTGCATTTGTATACCATAGACATCAATCTGCAAAGAACTGCTTAGCCGAAATGTAAACCACATAATACTAAATAATGGCGTAAAGAAAAGCTAACCACATCTCATTAACTCATTGGATTCTTTCAATTAATTAAATATCCCTAGATATTGCAGCTTTTATCAGTTTATGTATCAAAGCTTCACTTATGTTTTTATAATATAGCTGAGCATCCATTATCTTTTATAGAATATACGTTATAATGTCACTTTAAGGGACAATAGTGGCTACTTTACTTAGTTGGGGAAGGTTTATGTGGAATTCGTATCTTAATTTTAATTTGATGAATTAGACATATGGTGAGGAAATAGAGGAATTAGTCATTCTAAAATAATCAGATTAGTGATTCGATCGGTAAGACATCTCGATATGCAATTTTTTATTGGACGTTCTATCCATTAATTATGATATTAGTTAATTATTCAATACGATACACATTAATACCCATATCCGAAAACGTGTCTCACGCTTACTCGTCTATATTAGTTTAGAGATATTAGGTTTTAACCAACTGACTATAGTGTTATACTAATTATAAATTTAATTAAAATAATAATGACATGTCTCCATATACGATCATCCTATGTTGGATTCAAATTTTGCATACATATCACATATAAAACAAATCATTCAGATCTCAATTGTATAATGAATTCATCATATAGTAGATTAGTCGTAGGATCTACATTAGAATATCATCTTATAATAAAGCTAGCTCCACATCTTAAGTTTTATGTTGATAAAACAAATAACCCTATATGTAAAAGGTAAAATTATATTTTAATTTATCATCTTCATATGAATATCTGAATGCTTTTAAAGAGTAGATTTCAGATAGTTTTAATTTGACTAATTGAATAACGATCCCTTGTACATGTTAATATTATAGTTATGTGGCTAAAAACAATTTGCATCCTTGCGTGTAAAACTTTTAAGTTATTACAGAAAGTAGAATAAAAATGTAAATTACTAAATACTAGTATATGAGAAAAGGTGCACTTTGTGTCATGTGACTGTGGATGTGTGGATTCCACGTAAATCGAGTCTGGTCTCAGAAACACGTGTCAATGCCTCATGATTTAGTTACCGAATCGAATATTTTACTTCTCTGCGATTGGGAATTATATGCTTACACAAAATCCTTCTGACAAATTCTAGCATATGTATCAGACATTTGATTTCTTTTTTACGTAAAAGTCATTCGTAAATCTAATAAAATAACTTTAAGCTTTTAATATGATTCACATATTTCTACCAAATTCGAGCTGAACCATGCATATTGTCGGGCGTCTATCTCCACATCATTTTCTTTCTACCTTCTTTTTGTTTTAATAGTTTTTTAATCTTAATTCTTGTATAACCACTAATTTTCTTAAACAGTAAGTATTACAAATTTAACATATTATTATTTTATTCCGTTTGTGGAAGCTATAACATATGTTCGTTTAAGAGTTTGTTTGGTTCATTTGCTATCGCTATATAATTCATACTGAAGTTATAGACGGTATGATCTATCAATCTGAATTTTAAATATCAGAGTTATTATCAAAAGAAAAGAAAAAATGATTCGATGTGAAACTAATGTTATGGTTGTATATTATACACAGAGGACTTGTAAATTAGTGAATTACGGTATAAGAGATGTAGCTAATTATCCAAACATACATGTTCGCAATATAAATGAAGTATAAACTTGTGTGTCTATATATGTATAGACATAAATATTATACTCAAGATTATGAATGTTTTAGGGGGTTGTTTCTTTAAAAATAAAATAGACGTATGATTTGATTAGAAATTAAGAAAGTGGGTGTGGGTCAAAAGTGTGGGTGCGTTTTTGGGTAGTAAAGAGAAATGGGGGAAAAAGAGGGCAACAAATCTAAATGGTCATCTAATCACCATCCAGCAACTTCATTTCCACACAAACTTTTGGGCCTACACAAACTTCTTGTCTTTTTTATTTTTTTTTTTGCTTCATTTTTTTAATTTTCTTCTTTTGATGAAAATGGCATTTGAGCAATTTGGCAAATCTCATTGGGATTTGGAGGCTCTTATAACTGTAGTCCGAGTCTTGTTTATTTTCTTATAGGGCAGCTTTCTTTGGTCATGCTTTTTCATATGATATTTTCAACATTTTTTAGCATGAATTCATTTTTCGATTAAGAGACAATACTGAAAGCAGAGTTTGAAGCTGAAGAGAAAGAGGAAAAAGATGAAGTTTCAATCTTTATTTTTCACTTAAATGTAACAGATTACATTGCAGTTCTATTTATACTACGTTACATTGTTCTACACCCTAAACATTTGTCAATCATCATTTGAATAAAGCCAAACTCTTCGTTGACTAGGGCTTAAACACTTTTTGTCTTCTTTAGCATAGCTGTCCATTTTGACTGGTTCTAAACCTTCTGATTGTGTCAGAGTATTTTGTGATTCTTGTGCAATTCTTGCGGAAGGGGAAAATGAGAGGAAACAAAAAAGTGATTAGGCTGCATTACAATTCTTGCGTACTCTTATCGGAAAGATTACTCGACATTGTGTACTCTTATCAGAATTTTAATATATGTAGTACATAAATACGTTTTACTAATAATATATAATGGAATAATTAAAAAAAAAACATTATACTACAGAGAGGGTCCGTGTTGAAGTGAGAGGTAAACCAACTGGACCAGATGATTTCTTTGAAAATATTCGGAGATTATGTTTCATATATTTATCTGTATTAATCTACCTATAAAATGATTCAGCGCTACTCTTCGCATTTTAATCTGATTCAGTTTTTCCCACAAAACTTTTGAATTTCAAAAAACTTGTGTGTTGAAGAATCTCGGGTCAATCATGACGAGGACAGGATATCACAAGAAAAAGAAACCTCCGACTCCGAGTAAGAACTTCGATTTCTTAATCTTGGATTCCTATGAATGATTTTCAATTTTTGAACGATTTTGTAATTAGATAGTTCTGCTTGGTTGTTTCTTTGATGAAATCGGTTCAATCAAGCCATGTAGATGCGAGCCATATACTAAAAACAAGAGACTTCAAGTCTCTGATTTAAATAAAGCGTAATTAGGATTATATTCAGAACCTTACTAATGTGTAAAATGATTTAAATCAAGAACCTTACCAATGTGAAAAATGATTTAAAATTGTACCAATTTTGTTCATATTAAAATGTGAAAGTAGAAATTCATTATAACCTATTTCCTAAATATGATTTCATCTTAGATCTCGAATTCCTATATCATTTACGACATAATTTCTCAAGTTTTTGTATGATTTTATAGTCCTGGTTTCACTTGACTCACAAAAATGATGTTCAATTTCGTAGAATGACCCCAACTGGTATAATATGTTTTTTTTACTTTTAATGTGTTATCCTTCTTATGCAGAGCATCAACGCACATGACTCGCGTCTGACTCGCTATTACCGTGCAATATGGACCAAGTTGAACAAAAAGAAGTAAATAAGGGTTAGTTTCACATCGAGAACTCATGAACTCAGTTTCTACTATACTGTCAGTTAGTACCAGTGTTGGCCAAATTTCCTTATGCCTATGTTTGGCCTAAATACTTTGTTGGTTTTGTTGTTTCATGTTTGTTATATTGGGATCATAATGCTTTAACAAAATTATACATTTTTCTACCTTTATTGATGAAGGGCATGAAGGCTCAAGACACGCAGCTGGAGCTAGTTAAACAAAAAGAAGTAAATAAGGGTTAGTTTCACCTCGATAACTATGAACCCAGTTTCTACTATACTATTAGTGCCATTGTTTTTTTGGCCAAATTACCTCACTCTACTTTTGATATGCCTATGTTTGGGCTAAATACTTTGCTGGTTACTTACTGTTCTAGTTTCTTGTTTGTTATTTTCGGATCATATTGCTGTTACCAAAACTATACAACCTAGTTCATCATCAACACTAGTATTGGTTGTAAATGTTTCAAACTTATGTTCTATGGATCTGCAGCATGAATTTGCCTTTAGATGTATGATTACGTCTTGTGGAATGTGAAGCTTTTTCTTGCCTGCCTTTGTTCATTCCATTGTATACACAAGACCTTTTAAACCACCATTGATTCATTAGCAACTAAGTAGAAGATGGAGTGGCTAAAAGCTGATGCACGAACAGTGGCTAAAAGTTGATGCACGAACACTGTACCAAAATGATTCCACACATTTTATCAAATGATGGTACTTTGATGGCTACCTAATGTATGTTTCCTTAATCACACTTTCTGGTAAGTCGTAAGAAGAAGGAAAGTTCTGATTCTCTCACTCTTACTCGTTACCGTGGTATGATTCTGCTCTAGGAACAAAGCTCCCTTGTACTGCCTTTTGTGTTAGTTTTAGCAGTTTGTTTGAGGTTGCTTTTTTGTTGGAATAATAGGAGATGCAGTGGGTAAGAGGAAGAAGACAGGTTCTGGATCTCACACTTGTCCTGGCTATAAAGGTATGGTGTTTGATTCACTTGTAATGTTGTGAAATTTTGCTTTCTTGTATTAGTTCTCTGACTGTTTTCTTGGACAGATCAACCAATGCTCGTTTGTGAAGTTTTACGTGATGATGGAGAGCACGTTCCTTTTCTTACTGTTCATCAATTTGAGATTGTGTTTAAGATACAGAAAATTCAACTCTGACAGTTCTATGTTTGGAAGTTGCCTCGTGATTGAATGTTATTTGTATTGAACTCAGGAAATACAAATGAGGTGAATCATGATGCTGGCTCTGGCAGTTTTGAGCCAAAGTCTGGAAGTACCCTCCCAGAGGTGAACATGCATGTTTGGTCTGCGGAAGAGTATGCTCAATACGACACATATCTGATTGAGAAGTGGAGCGTGTTTGAATTAACGCATCTCGACCATGGTTATTTGGTAGGTTTACTCTCTTTCTTTATTTTTTCTGAAAAGTTCAATATGTGATTGGCTTTAAAATTCTCATCATTCAAAATGTTTTACACACATTTTGCAGAGCATCACATCAAAGACAAAGATTCCGAGCCTGTCCGCGTTGGCTCGAAGAGTTCACAAGTTCATGGTTGTACCTAACAAACTTTATCCCATTTTCTGGTTTTGATAGTTGATCAAATGTCATTTAGTCACATTTTTCATTTCTGTTGGAGTTTGTTTTGAAATAATACGCTCTTATGAGATTATTGCATGAGAATCTTTTTAGATGTAGAAAGCCTCCACTACAATCTGTTTTTAAACGACAGATAAAAAAGTCATGAGAAAATAGGCTCTTAACGAGTGAAGTAACAATAGAATATTATATGTGTAGGATCTGACAATTATTCGATTTCCCATCATGAGCCGTGTGAATCTGACCATGCTCAGATGCAGAGCCAAAATCGTTCTTCAATCACAGGAGCAAAGTTCCTTGGTTCACATGGGTTTACGACAAACTTGATGCCGGCTTGGCTGCTGCCTTGACTATCCCTCGTTATGAATCAGACCGGCTCAGCTTGTTGATGCATGAGAACGTCCTTTTTCTAGGCCTTCTTGCTTGTTGGCAAATTGCGTTGTGGTGGATTTAACTGTATGAAAGTAGCAGTCGTGCAAGAATAACTTGTGCTTTAAAGTCGTTTCCTTGCTTGCAGCATCACTCACGACTTCAAGATGATCAGTAAAGAACAATATCTGCAAAGAAGTAATGTTGGATCTTGATATTGTCGAGCCGAAGACGATGAAACAAATCATAAAAAATGTATACTTAGCAGCAGTTTGATGAATCACCACTAAAGTCAAGCTTACTTTGCTCAGAGACTGGACATTTGATGAATCAGTAGCCATGGCTTGCACTCCGAGTCAAGTGTTTGGCGTACTGAAAAAAGGGCAAAAGATAGTATTGAAAACACATACTGACATCCATCTTGCTTGCGCCAAATACCCTTTTGAGCCTTCAAAACTCACAAGTCAACAAGCAATTGACATATGAGTGATTCTCAGGGCGGCCTAGTGGACTTCCGCAGAGCGAACAAGATAAATGTACTTTCTGTTTCACTTCTGGAAAATCATATTTTGCGATCTTGGTCTGGTACTCCCACCCAAATTGGATCTTGGTTTGTACCGTTAAATATGAAACCATAGTATAGCGATGTAGTAAATAAGAAAATCAAGGCACTGCGTTATTATAGGTTTCATATTTAACGGTACAAACAAACTCAACATGAGAGCGAATTAAGCAACATCAGATGCCTATAACGTGAGCTTGGTAGAGCTACACATCCGTCTCGAACTTGTTGGTATCCATCTGAGGTACATGAGATAAACATGACCCAACATACCAGAGAAAATCAAAGGCAGTTCAATAGATGACGAGATGTACATATCTGTTCCATTCTTCTACCCATTTCACCATCAACCCAATTGGTTCCACAGCTAAACATAGCCGCGGCCTTCCTGAAGCGTATCAAGAATCTCACGGGCATTACTCGGGTCCTCCAATGCAGAATCATAGATCAATTCTACAAGGCTTCTCTAGAGTGCATGAGCCAGCAGAATCGTAGTTCTCTGACAGTGAAGACCCATCATTTGCGTTGCATGGTTGGTCTTGATTCACATATTCAATCTTGCCACCATCTGGACAGAAAGAGTAACAACAGAGAAAATGTTCTTAGAGACATTACTCAGCAGAAGTACCAATCAACCCCCTCTTACGGTGGTTGCAATCTCATACTGTTACCCATAAATATGAGTCAATAATAATAGTAGCAGTATGGACCAGATCTAAACCCATTTCTTTATCTAATCATCAATAGAGTTGTATGTAAAACGTTCCGATATGCAACTAGTACTGTTTGACAAAGATAACCCAATCCGTAACCCTAACCACATTCGTAACCAAGACAAGCAAAATCAAAAATGACGACGAAACAGATATACCTCTTGGGAATTTGATTCACTCATACACAACAAAGCTATAAATGGTTAATAGCTCGCGCAATTAAGCCTTACATGATGAGATAAAACGTATTGCCTTCTTTGCTGTTAGCTGCAGAGCAATAGCAATGCATGTCTCTTATGAGATGTGTGTGATTAAGATCTTACTTAAAAAAGCATTTGAAGCCAAAAACCTTTCGAAGCTTCAGCTCTTCACTTGGCTTCAAGGAACAAGCACTTGTTGAGTCTCTGCAACGTCCCTGCTTTGAGACATTGACGGTGACTGTGGAAGGTAAGGCAGTTTTATCACAAGACTAAACTGTGACAAACCAAAGTTTTCATTTAGGGTGATAAACCTTACTTCTCTTTAATACTCAAATAGTTTTCATTATTCATTCTATATAGAGTTTTCTTGTAATAAAAAAATAGAAAACTTTATTAATCGATGAAAGTGTTACAAATGTATGATTGAGATGTCAGTTCTTGAATA